GTCGTTACGTGCTGGGTGTCCAGGCCGTAACGCCCGGCTTCAAGGAGTGGAAGGTTCACCCGCAGACTTTGGGCCTGGAGTATGCTCGCGGTAAGTATCCTGTCCCACAGGGTAGCATTCAGGTGGATTGGTCTTTCGGCAATGACGGCCTCCTTAATATGACTGTGACCGCCCCTGCAGGCACGAAGGGGATTATTCTTCCCCCCAGCCTGCTGAAAGTACCTTTGTCGAAGTATAGAGTCTCGGGGGATGCAGAGAAAGTCGGCGAGGGTTTTGTTATACAGGGAGGCCAGGCATTCACCCTCCAACAGAGCAGATAGTTCTTTTCCTAAGTCCATGTAAACTAGCGTTCTATCGTCTTGTTCAAAGCTCGTTGATAGTGAGTAAACTAAAGGCCACCGCCATGACGGCACCAGCGGGAATCGAAGGGATATAACGGTATAGCTTGTAGACATAACCGTCGCTGTTCTCGGTCATTGCGTTTATTGCAGCGCACACGTGCTCAAGGACAGGCAAGCAACTGAGATTGAGGGTTCGGCGCTTGCAATATTCAAAGAAATTGGCAATAAAAGTATGATCTTTGGGTGAGACCACCCACCGGTGCCATCCAGACATGCGTGGCCATCTTATACGAATATACGAGAATACGAGAGCGAGCGCGAGCACGACGAACTATGGTAGAGGGGCGGGCCGCAAATACATTTTGATAGTCGCCACCTAGTGGCGAGTCTGGCGACGAGTCAATTTCATGTTGTCCCCAAGGGGTTCCAACATTTCCCATGCAGCTTGCGGCTTCTGTGGAATTAGCACAGGTGAATCGTTGGGCAGTTCCCATTAAATTGAAGGACACAAGAAAATGTGTTTAGTGTGCCCAGCCGAACCGAATCTGAATGGCTTTCGAGATCCTGTACTTAATTCTGCGCCCTATCTTTCCTTAACTCGTGGTCACTGGGATATCCGAGTGGGAAGCTCTTGTTTGAACAAATCTACGGGAGATGGCAATTATCCTTCACCAGTTAGTTTCTGGCCGTTTCTATGGCGTGGTTCCGGTCAGCCCCTCGCCTAGGGTCATTGCCCCTTTCATCTAACACCTCTAATAAGATATTGTTCTGGGCTCTGCATCCTTCGTCAAGGCGCCGTCTCCTGGAGAAGCCCGGTCGCACCTCTCTCCAAATCTTAGCGATATCGACGCCCCGAATAATATATTGATTGTCTACTTGCTGCGCAACTGCACAAGGAGCGCTGTTCGAGACTTCGTCATTGAAAAGCCAAGGAGCCAGATCTCCATCAATCAGCAGACAGCCTCCGGAGGACTGATCTGTGGACAATGGGTATAATGGTAATAAGTGTCCTTATATATTTATAGTTCCTCTTATTACAAATAATGGTAGCTGGTATGGTTGTCACGTGAGAATTATTGGCCCATCCCCGCCAACGAGGTCGTGATCTTTCAACCACGATATAAAATGAACGAAAACGGATAAAAGTACAAAGGAGGAAGTTTCAGAATCACACTGGGAACTCTGCTGTCAGTAGAGAGAAAATTATGTCATTATTGCTGGGGTGGGCGTGGACACATACCTTGGTTTTCCCCTATAGCGAATGACGGGCGGTGTCTATGACGCTTAGTTTAGACGCTCGACAGCTGTTTGCAGTACGTTCCCTCTTCTTCCGAGCGTTCTGGGAGAATGCATCGAGAGTTTACATTGGATTAGGTGTAGTTAACAATTGAAATGAACAAGCTTAACCTCTGGGACAACCTATTTCACTATCTCTTTTTGGATTCTGGCGGAACCACAGTATATTCTACCCTATTCCGCAATGTAGTTACGTTTTCATCAACAAATCAACCATTTTAAGTCACTCTATGGTCCAAATTTCCACACGAGTACTGACAGCTATTCCAGATATGAAAGTCACTGATAGACAACATTACATCATGATGTTTTTCATTGACGTCGTGATTGAGCCACTCGTTGGAATCTCTGCGCATAGATGCAAAGACATATATTAAGGAGGTTTCACCGAGAGAGTGTAATAGCTAAATTTTCAGGACCATCCTCACCCAGTTGACATTGACCTGCATTGAACTTCAATATTAACCTCGAACACAATCGACGATATGAAGTATTCAGTGCTGTCAATTGCGGCTCTTGTCGGCCCTGCCCTGGCAAATCCAGCCTACTACTGGCGACAATATCTCTCTCGTCCAATCCATCCTGCCGATGCTGGTACCATCAGTATCAACAACTTCGCTCCGTTTAACGTCCAAGTGGATGTAGAACCACAGGGAAATCAATTCAGTATTGCGCCAGGGGGTCAGCGCTCAGTTCCAGGCGCACCTGTTGCGGATGTGAAATTTAACCACCAGGTAGAAGTGAGCTATGTCTCCGGTGATCAGGGCACGTTTAACTATGTCATTAATCGGATTGGCGATGGCTTCGCTGGATGTGTTAATGTTTCACCGGATGGATGTGGATCTCTGACCTGGTGTTCTGGAAACCCTTCGACAAAACCAGTGACCTGTGCAGCTGGCACCGAGCTCCCTGTAACCTTGTACTGGCCTAGGTATGTCTTTCAGAGCCAACTATCCCATGCCTCCACTGATTAAGCCTGTTAGCCATATGATGGAGACTACACATGACTTCCTGCTGTAATAAAGAAAGCAGAATAGCAGTCAATAGTGTGGATAGCCGTTCAACTAGCTGTGTCGTGAGGGCTGGTGTATTCAACATAACACCATGGGTTTGTCTATGCGGGGCTACATATAAGCTATATAAGCTATCTTATATTCTTTAATAGTAATGACAATAGGATAATATTACAGTAATATTGCCCTTCCTGATAGGGTTCAACATTTTTCTGTCTTTAGTAAGCAGCCCTATATAACTACAACAAGATGGAGAGTGATTTACCTCTGCAGTCAAGTGTTGGGCAAATCTACATAATGAAGGCCAAAGAATAAGACTCCTTACAGTGACCCAGAAGAAATCCAGTAGCCCATGTCGAGGAGAGCGGGTTGCCAAATATTATCGTCTCATTGATATTGAGGACTAGCTGAATGTTTCTCGCTTACCGCAAGAATATGCTGGAAAGTCGATGGGCTGGAGGGGAATGGATTGAGACATCGGGGAGTCGGGTATAGAGTATTTGAGAGCGACGGTAGAGTGCCTGAATGTTTATATTAGCAATAGCATCGCACTTTAGCCCTCAGTCATTAGTTCCCACCCAATTTCTACAAGTCTTTCTACAGACACAAGTGAGGTAGCAGCAAGTTGTTCAATTTCCCTTAGCTAAATCAAGCCGACCAGTACAACGTGTCCAAAGAGAACGCAATCATAATAGATAGTCGTTCATCGCCCAGTTCAGAACTACAATTTGTTCCCAGAAACACTGTGGTATCTCAACACTTCTGCCACGTCAAGGTGCCGGATAATGGCGCTTGCGAACACCCTGGTGCTGCAAGCCTTCTCAAGGTCCCATAGATACCTTCCTCGCCGTTATTATCTCGAGTGCGAGGTATGCAAAAGTCCTTGTTCCAGAGAAGGACGGCGTGCCAGTTCTGCTGGCGTGCGCCTTTGCACCGGTTCCGGAGCCGCCACTTCGCTAAGGGCATTATACGGGTCCCAATCATCATCGTCACGATCTGATCTATCGCGGGGGTTTCCTTTGTCGGCCGGCTTTCGAGACTCAGCGTTCTTGGAACGGCTAGAGACATGAAAGAGGGACTTGATTTTATCCACAATTTCCATCGTTTTCCCAACTCAGTGAAGGGGCTTTGTTTTCTTTTCTTAAAAGAAGTTTGTTTGAATGTCTTTCCATACGGGGCTCGCCGCCTGGCGTGTTGTGGAAAAAGGTCGGCATGATCTGGCAGAAAAAGGGTCAGCAGGTCCAACTCTCAACCATAAATTAATCTCGAGGTGTACAACACCTGTTTAGCAGTATTATTGCCACCACTTGAATTTCCACCCTCCCACTACGAAAGCCCTTTGAACTAAATTCTAGACCATTGTACTATTAATGTCATGTGTATGTAAGTAGAAGTAAATGAAGATAAATTAGGTGTTAAGCTTGAGAAGCAACATCTATATATTTATGTATATATGTATATACTCTGTATATCATGCATATATTTAGTACTCTTTAATATAGTTAATATACTATATATACATACTAAAATAGAATAATTAATTAAAATAACTTAATCTACTATAATACATATATAATAAGCATAAATCTATAGATGTTAAGGGGTAGTAAGGTATATAGGTATGCGATTCATTTGATGCTATTTGGAGGTCTTTTGCGGTCGGAGAGGGGCAGAAAATTAGGGTGGTTAACTATGGTAATTTATAATAGAACATGACCAATACCCATTGAGGTTGAACGGACGGGTAACTGGAGCTGCTCTAGCATCTCTAGCATGGTGCCTGATGGGAGGTAATATTGTAAAAAGTCATTTTAGCTGGATTGTACGTGCTGATCTAGTTATACTAAACGCGATGCAGGCAACTGTCAGTGTTCTCATCTTCAGGATCAACGTGCAAGGTATGGTTCTTTAACAAGGGTTATACGGGCTGACGATGGCATGGCTGTGGATTGACTAGGTGAGATTTTCTCTTTTCATTGTACCAAATGAGAAAACTAAAAGCCAGGCACTGGAGTTACAGGTCCTTATTTTCTATGTGCATTATTTCGTTTGGCCCGAGCCCTGAGAAACGGAGGGTTTGAACTCTCCGCGCAAGATCCTCCGCGGGATAATCTCAACCCTGTCCACTGGAGTACGGAATATCATGATCAGGACCCGAGAGAAAATAGTTTCATATGCATTAGTGGATGCATAATCTAAGCTGAATCTTCACCATCTCATGTTTCCACTCTTGTACAAGATCTTGTTTCTTTCCACAGATTTCCTGCATTCCTGCTCACTCTAACTTTGCCCCAAAATACACCAAGTGAAACCAGCCTCAACGATAGAACCGAAGAAAGGACAACTAAAAATGGCTGAATTTAGATATCTGATCCACTTTGCAGATGAAAAGGGAGACAGATTCTTTGCTGATATCGACTCTACGGAGCCCGTCATTGGGGCACAAGTCAACGCACATCGCTCATTTGAGGACCTGAAGGAGAGGAGAAATAGTGAAATTAGGTCTATCGCCAAGGTACTGCAAATGCTCTCTCGCAGGAATAAACCTTACGTCTGAATGCAATCTCACATCGACTACAGCTTCTCCCCCCTGTCCCTGCACACGATCTGCCGATCTACTGCGTGGGACTTAATTACAAGAGCCATGCAAAAGAAGCAAAGGTAAGTTCATCACTATACAGGGTTCCACATAGAGTCTCATCGGATATCAGCTTAATGTCCCCGCAAATCCTCCGGTGTGGACAAAACCCGCTGCCGCTCTGGCCGGTCCCGATGAGACAATCGCGATGAACCGGTTCTGTGCGTCCCACTTACCAGACTGGGAGGTGAGTGCTGTCCTGTTTTGCTGTGAAGCCCGTCCAATATTGCGGGCACATTAGTCCGCCAGTCTTATATAAGTCTAATCAAGCCTACATCGCGAATAACAGGGCGAGCTCTGCTTCGTGACCTCGCGCGAGTGTCGCGACCTCAGCGTTGAAGAGGCATCCTCTTGTATCATGGGCTATACCATTGGGAACGACCTATCCTGCCGCTTTTTCCAACTGCCGGAGCAGTCAGGCGGGCAATTCTTCTACGCCAAGGCCTTTGATAGATTTGCGCCTGTTGGCCCAGTGCTGGTGCACCCTTCCGTCTGGGGCAAGGTTAAGAAGACGGCCCGGTTGGTGACGCGCATCAATGGGCAAGTCAAGCAGGACTCTCACATGAGCACGGATATGATCTACGAACCGGCGAGAATTCTTAGTTGGATGTCGCAGGGTAAGTACCCCTTTTGAATTGAAGTCTATGAGTAGAACACCTAACAATCGTTGTTCTGCTTTTCTGCTTAGGCACCACAATTCCCGCGTATACGATTGTTATGACGGGGACTCCTGCGGGTGTGGGTGTATTCCAGTCCCCACGACAATTTCTCAAGGATAAGGACTCGGTCGAGATGGAGATTACCGGCCTCGGAGTGCTGAAAAACCGGATTGTGTTTGAAGAAGGCCAGGACAATATGCTGTGAGATGACCTTTCACCTTGTTTGAAGACTGTCGACGATCACCTGGGCTGTTTGCTCTGGGATGGCAAACGATTGTACTGATTATGCTCCTCTTACGAGATGACCAGGGCCTTTATATGGAAATTTATCAAGTCTAAATTGTGGTATAGGTTCAGTCTGTGGCTGGTATAAGTGTTGAGCTACTGGGAGTCATCAATTTCTGTATCTTCTCCATTCCGAAATCTGTATATCTGCCAGCATGGATATCTTGCCTATAAGGCTTCTTCTTGCTTGGCCACTCCGAGTTCCCGTAGAGAATCAGTTAGCCCCAACCGTATCCAGTTATCGATCTCTTTCCGGGTGGCAACAGCTATATACCCCAGCATGCCGATTGCATTGACCCCAGCTTCTTTATTGATAGCAGCGCGTTGCCTGGGGAGGACCACCATCCAACGTTTTGTGAGAATAAAATTGTGCGGACACGTAGCGTTAGGTGGAGCCGTGCGAAAATTCTCAGAGAGGCCCTTCCCTTTCTTGGTTGACTGCTCGAGAAGATGATTATAGATCTCTAGTAAGCGTTCTGGCGTCGAGTCATTGGGATTCAAGCGACGATAGAACCATTCAAACGGAACTCGAGGTGGCTCTCCATCCTTTGAGTTAAGAAAGGACGCAAAGAGATTTGGAGGAGTTGGAATCAGCTGCAGGTGCTTATGCAATCGACTGCATCCTCCATCCTGCCCACAGTTGTAAAAGGCAACGTAGTCTGTGTCTAAGGTTGACAAAAGAGACCATGCAGATCTGATATCGTCGAGATTGAGACTCTCATGTTGCCTCTGATAGCCGTCAGAGGTTACGAGCATGAGATGTGGCCTTGCCCAGCAGAACTTGTTGGCGACCAGAATGTGGGAGGTGTTAATTTCGCCAATCTCAAAGCCATGAGTACTAATATCGCTTCCCTCTCTCTTCTGATCCAGCTCATCGATTCCATTTGCTGCTGATGGGTTCAACTGAATTGTCGGCTTTTTGGCGAGAGCGGAGGTAAGCAAGAATTGGAACTAGGAGAATATGATCAGGATCCCTGTGGATATGTGTCCATATTCAGACATGGCGTGAGGCATACCTTGAGCTCTCCATCAATATGTTCAAACATTTCTTCCTTGTCACTGTATATGACTGTGCCAGAATTGACAAGCCTGTCGAACTCGGACAGGATAAATGATTCATCCATGATTACCTTTGCAAAACAGAATCTGAGCGGGCTTTGCCTGTATTGAAGTATGCGCTGTGACCGATTGGTGGTGATGGCTAACTACGCTTCTTTAAAAGGTATTGAAGAGTGTAGCGCGTATGCTAGTGTCTGGATGTTCAGGTTGTTTATCATCGCATGCTTGATCGTCCCATCTGCCCCACCCTCGTAAGCCTAGGCAAAATGGATCTACAACACAAGAAGACTGACCCTTGAAGCTTTGAATCCTGTCAGACATCATCATTCCGCCCCTTATTTGCGTGCTGTCGTCAATCACAGAAAGTAGAAACATCCCACACGATTACCTACCAGATTGTCTCAGTGGCCAATGCGATGGCACCCACAGGGCCACGTCATCAAAGTAGACCCCCATTGCTAGCTGATATTATACCATTCTACACCGCTAAGACGAAGGCACATCTATTTTTGGGGTCATGACTTCAAATGCTACCTACCGACTTTGTCAGCCGGTACTGGTACATTGGTCGAGTCAGGGTTCGACGAACGCTCAGTCCCAGAAATTTATCCAGAAAATATTTTCATCTAAATTTGGCCGCCGTAATTCAATCATACTCGCAAGAATCCCCTTCTGAGCTCTTCATCTAGATAAACGCCTCTAAGTCGACGGCCCTGGTCGGGGTGTACACAATGCCGGCCGATTACGAAAGACGCGATGCTACTGAAGATGAAATAAACGAGTTACCACATGTCGCCGAATCAATTTTATCCATTGTATGGATTGCTCTTGTGGTCAGCAGTGCAGAGAGGTTCCTATTTTAAGCGCAACAACTCCTTGCCGTTAGTTCCCCTCCTAAACCGTTGCAGCATAGGTATGACCGACATCAAAATTGAGTAGAGAATTATGAGCAGGATGATCACGCAAATACCTCGATTCTGGGTGAACATCACTACGGACGGATTGGATTATCCTGTAAGAATGCTATTTTCATGGCTGAGAAATAAATGTAACATCCGAAGTTTATAAGCAGTATGAAATGTCGTCTCTGCCAATCTATAGGTCTTGGATAGTTTCTGGCAAGGTGCCCTGTGTACATCAGAGTAGATGAACCGTGGAATAATGTTCAAGGCCTCTGGCAGGTTGGGATAATGCACACTTGAATATGAAGAATTGCTTCTTGTAATATTAGATTTTGCAGATACTGTACAGCAGGATAGGATGAGACAATAGAGCAAGCAGTAGCAATAGCACGGAAAATTTGAGATCAAATCAGCCGGTTTCTAACAAAGACTCCTTGCCAGCGCGTCCAAGCTACTCTTCAGGCCACCTAGGTCTCTGCTCATGGCAAAAACAATGTTGTCCGGCCTGACAATCACATATCGAGCGCGAGAGTCACCAAGGCGGCGCATGAATTGGCTGGAGCTATATCCTGGCCGGACGGGGTACCCAGTAAGAAGGTCCGCAGAGGCAACACGAGAAACAGGCCACCGGCTCCCACCGGAGAGGTGGTCAGATGAGTCGGAAGGATCGAACTGCAAAATCGACATCTCCGATAATACAGAAGGATCTATTCCAGATTGCCGAAGCACCTGAAGCAGAGCGACCAGTTCCTGCTCCGTTTTGGAGCACTGGGTGGATGCGACGACAAGAAGAGTCAAAATGGTAGGAATGCGCCGCAGCGCCTGGTCAGACAGCTCGACCTTCGAGGTAGAACTATCAGGAAGACTTGTTTGAACATAGACCTGGCCCAGCTTGAACCCTCCGCCGTGCTCCGCAGTGAAGCCACCCCCGACACAACCATGGTACCCTTGACTGTCTTTCCCAAACGGCCCCAAACGCATCCCCAGGGCCCCGAGGAACCCCTGGACAATGTTCACACAGGCGAGCTGAACCGATAATGACCATGAGCTTTCCTTATTGCACAACTCACCGTTTTGCCGGGTCAGCCGAGCAGAATTGTCAGTGCCCAATCGACGTTCACTCGCCCAGGACTGAAGAAGACCGTGTTGTCGAGCCTGCGAGTGCGAAAGTGAGCCGACCTTGGTGAGGACCGCCAATCGCCAGGCTAGCCCGACCGCATCCTGAACACCACATGCCACTCCTTGCCCGCCGAACGGCGGGAAGACATGTGCCGCATCACCAATTAGAACGGTCCGTTCGGCGAACCATTTATTAACCACGCGGTGACTGAAGCGGAACGGACGACAGCGAAGCACCTCAATACAATCCCGAGGAAAAGTCACCTCTACGGGACAGCCGCCGTGAAGCGGCCGGATCTTCCGGGTGATGAGCGGGATCAGATTCTCCCAAAAGATGGCGCTTGCATCCATGGAGTCGTTCCATTCTGGAACCGCAAATTCATGACGCCACAGTCGCTCCGAATGCGGACCAAATCGACCACAGGCTATGGGCTTCCCTGGGGGACGGCAGAAGTGCCAGTTTGCCGGCCAGAAGAGGTCGTATACCGACTCTGGGTCAAGTCCAGCCGCCCACAGCGCAAGGTCGGGGTGGCTTTGCGGCGTGGGGAGGGTGATTTTGAGGTTGGCTGCTATCCAAATTCCTTCGTACTCGAAGATCCCCGGTTCCTGGCGGACACCCGCGGACGGCTCAAGGAAATGTTTGCGGACGATGCCTCTTTTCCCATCTGCACCGACCAGCCAGGCGGCGTGAATTTGGCTAGGTGTTTTTTCGCTATCGAGGTAGTGGACAGTCACTCCGTTCGCGTGCTCGTCGCGTCCAATAACCTCGCAGGATGATTGGAGGGTGCAATGTTCTGAGGAGGCCACCAATTGCCTGAGGAAATACTCTGCACAGTCAGTCAGACTTGATCTATCGTAAATTATACGAGGTTCAGAGCTCAGGAATCCTACCAAGCCTCGGTTGGCTCTGCAAGATGGTACTCGGCAGAGCATGTTCGAGCGCGTCAAAGTCAAGTATGGTTTTGTAGAAAGGTTCGTTCTGATAGGTAGTTGTGTGGAAATTGAGCGAGTGCAGCTCTACCAGGTAGGCAACATTAGTTACTGATTTTGAAAATGCTTGAAAGCTTGAATATAGCACCGACCCTGTCCTATCGAGGAGACATGCTTCCCCAGTCCTAGTGTCCATAGACTCCGAAGAGCATCACCTGTGAGTACGACTCCTCGGGGATCATGGGTGATATCATGCTCTTTCTCAAGAATAATGGACTTGAACAGAATTAGTTTGATTTCTCAGCGATTGCGGTAATATAAGATATCTCAATACCTTAACCTGGTGTCTTGCCAAAGCAAGCCCTAGAGTCAGGCCTGATGGGCCGCCGCCAACAATAACAACGTCGGTATTCATTGGAGAACTGGAAATGCAGAGTGTGAAACGGTGACTGTCAGGAAAGTATATGATAGTCTACAACTATTTGATACCAGGCTTGAACATATTAACATTTTGCATAGTGTGTAAATCACAGGGTGTGTATACCTTGAGTGACCTCCGAAGTTGTGCCGCGGCGAGTCTTGATGTCCGTAACTTGGGAATTCTCCCGCGGGAACACATGAGATGGCGAGGTTAACAGCTCATACTAGTCTCAGCTCACCCAGATATAATCTAGAAATAAGACAGTTCTTCATTTCATTCTTGCACTTTATCTAGAATCATTCCAGGATTGAAGAAAAACAATACAGCTTAGCTTGCATCTATCAGGCCTAAATACCACGGGACATTGGTAAATCGCACATCGCAATTCCAAAGGAGCAATGTCTCTATTTATCCTCGACGTGATTGCCCGTCTGCCCAAATCATGGCAGGACTGGATCCTCCCACCGTCCTCAATCCCTACAGTGACCAACAACCCGTCCAAAGTCCAATTATCCCGCATCGCACACGTCTACTTCGAACATAAAGATGTCGAGAAATTCGACAAATTCGCCAAAGACTTTGGCTTTATCCCAGCAGAACGTAAGGGAAATACCATCTACTACCGCGGGTACGGCAAAGACCCATACGTCTACGTTGCCTCGCAAAGCAAAACCGGCCGATCACGGTTCCTAGGGGGCGCCTGGGTAGCCAAGGACGAGGCCAACTTCAACAAGGCCGCAGCGCTACCGGGCGCTGTCCTGAAGGACCTCGACGAGGCCCCCGGCGGCGGCAAGATGATAACTTTCGCTCGGCCGAACGGAACCTTCTTCCACGTCGTGTACGGGCAGACCGAGCGCAGCGTCGACACGTCAACTGACCAGCCCCCCTCCGCGACACACGAGTCGCAAGGGCCGTACAACACGCCGTTTCAGAAGAAACGGCTCGGCCAGTTCCAGCGGTACCGCGAGGCGCCTGCGCTGGTGCACAAGCTCGGCCACTACGGGTACGTGTGTCGCGAGTTCGACACCGAGCTCGACTTTTACACGTCGAATTTCAACTTCGTTCACTCAGATGTTCTCAACCTGCCGCAGTTCCCGCACGTCGACGTCCTGACCTTCATGCATCTGGATCTGGGGGCGGAGTTCTCAGACCACCACAGTTTGTTCCTGCAGCGGGCGCCGCCGAACGTTCGGGAGACGTACGTCCACCACACCTCGTTCGAGGTGGCGGACTTTGACGAGCAGCTCATGGGGCACCGGTATCTTGCCAAGAAAGGGTGGAAGTCGGTTTGGGGAGTAGGGCGGCATATCCTGGGCAGTCAGATTTTTGATTATTGGTATGATAGCAGTGGGTTCAAGATCGAGCATTACGCGGATGGAGACGTGGTGAATGAGGATAATCCCACTCGTAGGGAACCTGTCGGGCCAATCTCCATCTGGGGTCCTGAGGTGCCGAAGGATTTTGGAGACAATAAGGCACGGTAGGATGGGATCCTTCTGCTGAGGTACAGCAATGTTCTGGTCTAAGGTCATGTTGGCTGGTATGTAATATTATTATATTGATGTATAAATGTACGCGTTGTCCCATACTAGCTCCATAACGGCATGCAACGGCATTCCCGGAGATGAAGAACGCCAACGGCAACAGTGCAGCAAGGGTGATTCTGTTAAGGGCAATTCAACCCCTAGACCCAAGCATCATAAAGGCGAGAAAAAGTCGAAGGAAAAATCAAGCCCGGAAAGGTCAATCACGGGTTCCTGTGGAGTGAGCAACGGGTCCCGCGGATTTGGCGCGAGACCTAGGAGTCCCCTCCATGGCCGAAAGGGTCCAGGCACTTGTATCAGGAGCTGGCCAATGTCGTAGGAGGAGAGTGGACCATGGACGACACTAGCGAATTTATCGAACGACGCTGGTAGAAGTCAGCCAATGTTGGAAGAAAACGAAATAAAAGTAAATATTGGACCCGCCTTTGAGTGACCTCGGAAGGGCCCAGATTCGGGCAAATTGTTCCAAAAACAACAGTAGTATGTCCCTCTCTGCCTGGAGTCTCTCAGAAAGGGCAAGCATTCCAGGCGTGGCCTCGTGTATTTCATGTAGGTAGAGTAGAATCAAGGTACTGAATACAATGAGACAAATGGCTGGATCGACAGTCGAACAGTACCGGCTGTCCCATTCTCTGATGACGGCCACAATGTCTTCGGAGTGGGCCAGCGATCGCTCCCACGACGACGTCCACGCCGAATTGTCCGACAGATCAAACGTGATTGTGTTCAAAAGTCGTGCCGCATGCAGATGAATTAGACAAACAAGCCGTGCATGATGGTCTACACTGGATTCATTGGCAAAAGCGTTGCGAGCTTCGCGGAGAAACTGTGGAGGCAGGGAAAGCACTACGGCCGAGAGATGATCTCCGAATTGAGATCGTCGGTCTCGAAGAGCTTCCGACGGGTTTTGCCTCCTTAACCGAAAAATAGCTGCTGCTTCTCTTAACAGAGTAGTTGTGACGATGTGCATGTTGAAATTTGAGGCAGGGGTATCAGGAGAGCCCATTTCCGCTGAAATGCGCCACAGATCCCTTGTATCTGTGGGCAGAAATTGCGTCACACGACTACTAACGGGGCTATCACTTGAGCCCTCTAGAGAAGTAGCCACCAAGGCGGTCCGTATGCTCTCCTTTTCCAGAACAAATGGGGTGGCTGCCATAATGTTTGAGTACGAGTCCAAGCAGTAGATACACCACCAAACATATCTCCATTCTTCCAGATTGGCTGGGTTTGCCAAGATGTCGCCAAACGAGTTGTACCGATCAGTGGAATCCAGCTGATGCAGACCTAATCGCAGGGCTTTGCGCGAGAGACGACTGATATAGTCCCATGCATCCCCACCATGGCCCTGGTGGAAACGATAAAATGCGAGCAGGCAGCATTGCCGGAACGCGTCCAGCAGCATGGCGGGCGGGGTTGGGCCGCCCAATGGGTCGTCTTTCAACAGTTGTTGAAGACAATCATCGATATTGGCTACCTGCCAACCGTGCGGTAGGCCGAGAGACTTTGCCGTAACAGCTAGGACAGTAAGCAGCAGAGAACGGTTGATCGTGCCGTTCTCGTAGCGCCCGAGAAATTCTTCTTTCCGAAATAATGGGATAGAATAATGGACAAAGTCGAAGAAGTCATGGACCCTAACCAAGGTTGAGGCAATTGTCATCAATTTCAAAACAATATGGCTTGGTAGCAGGACTTACAGCTTCGCCTGCATCTCTGGCGATATCCCCAGCTCTGAGGACACGGATGGCCCGGCTGCAGGGACAAGCGGTGTCAACCCGGAAAAGAGAGACTGGGGATCTGGATTATTATCGCCCATTGAAAAGCCAGCATCAGCGTCCAGCTGAAATCCCGTCGCTGGAGAAGCAACAAAGATGTCGGAAAAGAATGATGGCATGTGCTCGCCATTGTCGTGGTCTGAACCGACGCATGGATGAGTGGTCTTTGGGGACTTGGCAGTGCGCCTCGCTGCTTTTCGTGTTCCCCTGGCTGGACCTGGCTTTTTCTTGGAGGACGAATAAACGCAAGCAAAACCCCCTTCATGACATCGAGAGCAAACCGGTCGTTTCTGATCACCTTCAATGGATCTGAGTGACGATTGTTCTCATACGGGGATCCTCAAGCAAGGCACTCACACTTTACTTTTCTCCTGAAAAGGGTTAGTCAGGCGGAAATCCGGGATATGGATGGAACCACTCACGAAATGCATTTGTCACATACTCGCAAGTTGCTAGCTCCAGGACTCTGCGAGTCCTGTTCGTGAGCTACTGTCGAGTCAGACCGGCTAGAGGCATCTGGAGACATTGTTACATTGGTCTCCCTTTGTGCCTGATCTCAAATAAATTGCTGCATGTTCGAGACTCTGGTGGTCGACGCTGTGTTTGTGGCTGCAAGACGTTCGTTGGCTTTGCGGGGGATAGACAATTCATATCACATGACGTGGCTGTCTTTCTAACTACCGCACCAAAGCTAGCAAATCAGATGATTTAAAAAATAAAGTTATTGCCACCTTTCGGATCCACTCATTGCAGCCTCTCTCATTGGGCAGAATCAAACATGGAGTTCCTCCGCGGACAAACTTCGACGCTGCACCAGCATTGCCTATGGGAATGCTACTTTCATACATTCAAAGGCAACCACAGAGACATTCCGTCCTTTGGGGCTACGCTAGAAGATGGCAGGCATCAAAAATAGCCTGTCAAGCAACCGGATCAATCCCTCTTCAACTTCTTCAAATCAAACATACGCGCAAACATCCAATCAAAGAGACCAAACCAAAGCCACCCTCCAACGAGTAATTGTATCAACTTGCTCTTATTTCCTTCCCACAGCCATTTCTTGTATGATCTCGAACCGGAATGTCGGACTATTTGTGCAACGACGCTCTGCGCGTAGGTATCGCGGCTCATTGCACCTTCCTGACTGTGCTGGACGCGGCGATTGTACTCTGGCAATATGCCCTTATAAAGAGAATCTGGCGCCAGTTGGCGATCCTCCCGAGCAATCCGCGACTGGACGCCTCCTGTAATGATTGTGACGACTTTGACTCTGTAGACACGCATCATAAGATGAGATTTCAATCCGGTACAAGAGGCGAATCCCAAGAGGGCTGTGAAAACTCACCCAAATGGAGCCAGTTCGATACGCATCGTGTCGCTCAAGGAATGCAAAGCTGCTTTAGATGCGTTGTAAACGGAGCCAAAGACGTACGGCATCACCTAGAGCAATCAACATGGTCTCTTACGTAGAGCTCCATGGCTGCCGTGCTTACCCCAGATACTGATCCAATTTGCACAATTGATCCCTTAGCCTTCAGGAGCAGCGGCAGGAATGTTTGACACATCAATATCACAGCGAAGAAGTTCGTCTCGAAAATCTGCCGGGCTTCCTGCAAGTCTACCTCCATTGCAGGGACTGTGTAGTCTGGAGGCAGAATGTTAGCATATAGACGAGAAAAAGCCCAAACACTTCTGATAGTCAGTGCTCTCACTTTGACCACTGCGATTGCGAACGGTCAGTCTTGAATGACAAAGGAATCAGGAGCTCGCGGGTGTTCACATACGCATTGTTGACCAGGTAGTCCAGCCCTCTGGAACCTACGCGCCTCTCGATCTCGGCATAGCATTGTAGTACGCTTTGCGGATCGTCGACTGTGAGTGCTAACGTCTCGATTCCTTTGGCTTCCAGACTCGCAAGGTCTTCAAGTCGTCTCGCGGTCGCAAACACACGGAGCCCTTTTGCTTTGAATGCACAGCAAAGCGAGTAGCCTATGCCTCCAGGGGAGCACCTAAATCACATCATAGTATTCAGCAAATATCAATATAGAGGAGGCCAGGGTGACAATGCGTTCGAACCCTGTTATGACAACTGTTCTTCTTTCGTCCGCATCGAGCATTGCGTCAACCTATCAAAGCCACGGTCAGCTACGGAAAGCCGCAGGGTAACTTTATGTTAACTACCTTGAATCAGCAGTGGAAGAACCAGGAATCAGGAGCAGTGGATCTAGCAAGTTGCACCAGGGAAGGTCTTTTATTGTAGCCTAGGCTCAGCTTAACCTCGGCCAGACGGTCCTTGAAAAGGGTAAGAAGAATCGCCTGGACGAAAAAGAAGATGGTGATATCGGTTCCATAATCACTAATCGAATGATGTCGACGAGCATCACATGGTACTTAAACTATGTTTTTGCCGGTGGCTCAGCTAGGAAGGCGAGTTCTTCCGCGGAGGACTTTGGAATATGCACGACGATCTGGGACACTTGCAGACGACATCAAACTGCAGCGACTTCACTATTGACTAGAGCAAGCCAAGATAAAAATCATTTTGTTTCAGAATTTGACCCATTCTTCGGTGGATTACAGGATTGAGATCTTCCTGTCCCACGAATCACACATGAGTGATACACTCACGCGATATATATAGACTGTCTCAAACATACTCAAAAGGGGCAACTACCATGGAGCTGCATGTCAGAAATCCGAATGCCTAAGGAGCCCTCTAGTTTCAGTGTAGTCTTCAGCGCAGTGTTGCAATAGCCGCGCTAATAATAATCCTTTGAAGAGTAACATGATAATTATATATTTTGATACATAGCAGTTGCTTGCTCTGCCAGAGCTGTGCAGGATTGGCTAAATGACATGGAACCAAACATAATGATATGATTGTTCATATATACTCTTTCCTTCAAGCTCTAAACATTCAGCAAACGGGTGATCATTCAACTGGTCTTAGATATGGTCAAATGACATGTGCTTCACCTGCCACACTCATTCTCCATACCACTACCATTTGGAAGCTCCAATCATGCACTACTGGAGAAATGCAGCTTTGTTTCGCTCCAGGAACTCTCTCCAGCTCGTTGCCTGATACCCAGCCTTCTCGAGCCAGTCATTGCTCTCTTTCAGATCCCTGCCGTTGAAGTAACCAGGATTCTCAATGAAGAGGTGGTTCTCCAGCATCTCTTCGGCAATAGGACCGGGCAGAAAGCTCTTATAAGTATCAGAGTCCACCTGAACGAATCGAGCTTTCTGTCCGGTAACGTCCTCGAACTCCTGGAGGATTCGAGTAGGGGTGTAGTAGTCTTGGGCGACGAGGATCTGCGCACCGAGGGACTCGGAAGGATTTTTCAACGCCGCAGCGACGTATTTGCCTATGCAGATCATCAGCCTTCGTTATTCCCATGCAATATCCTCGAGATGGTTGTCACCTACCCATATCGTTCACGATGTCGACCAGTGGGAACTTGGCGTTCTGACTGACAGGATACGCCAGGGTGTAGACGCCGTCCTCACCCTTGCGCAGCATACCCATCTCGGGATAATTGCTCATGAAATACCCCGGCAGCACAAAGGTAGCCGGCACACCAATGGACCGGATGTACTGTTCCACCTGCGCTTTCTGATCGAAATGGGGTACATGTTTCAGCCGACCACCCGATGTCTCGGTGACATTGAGCAAGGAAGAAAAGATCAGATGTTGGACGCCAGCTTCTTTTGCTGCGTCGGCCGCGTTCTTGCCATGCACCAGTTCTGCATCTGAACCGGCGGCGCCCCAAGCCGGAGTGGTCACAAGGAAGACCGAGTGGCTGCCTTGCAGTGCCTGGACGAGAGACTCTTTCGAGTTCATATCGGCCTTGCTGGTAGTCAGCATTGTTTCGGTGTTTGGTCTGGTGGGTGGGAAATGCATACATTTCTCAATTCAACGCCTTGCTTGGACAGCGCTTGAGCTGCTGGCTTCGAGGCGTCACGGGTGATACCGCGGATCTTGAATTCTTGGGAGAGCTTTGCATCCTGCAGGATTGTGCGGATGACAGAACCGCCCTGCTTTCCCGTCGCGCCGAAGACTGTGATGATTTTGGACATTTTGATGAATTGATTGATAGCTATGAGAGTCGATGAAAGTCGAGTCGTTGGGAATTGAAGATCTCGTTGATGGACATGGCTCTTGCGGATAATACCGTCCTTTTATCCTCAGTCTTGAAGATATACATGACTTGACATTGCCCTCATCAACCTGGTCATGACAAATGATTGTCACGACTCGGTCTTGGCACTGCCGAGGATTATGAATAAAAAGGCTACCTTATTTTATCCAACTGTGCCTTGCGTAGTCAGCTCGGCCTCCGAATGATGCGAACATCCTGCATATTATTAATCACTACAAGCTTCTTGCCGCTTCTGTGGGTGGGCGCACAAGAGTCACATGACTACCAAGAACTTACTAAGCAGTTTAGTCACACCGTACCAAAAGAACGACCTCCAGCTGAGCTACAAGCACTCTACGGCCCTTACTCATGTCAGCAAGGACACCCTAACGTGTCCTCGCATCATCTGTTCTTTTCATCTTTTCAGCTAAATTCATCCTATTATTTTGGATTGGTTCCCATTGGTAAATTAGCCCCATTCTTGCATACAATGCCATACTGTATCAGCTTGCTATCATAGGTGGGCCACTCAGTGTCTTGTCTAGGCGGCAAGTTACTGCTCCGTGCCCCGATGTTCTCCTTGTAGGCTCCGAGATGAGCCAACCAATGGTTATTCCAAGACATTAACGGAACTTGAACACGGAGGCGCGGGAGACCCGCCGACGGCCGTAGATCGCGGCTCCACCCCTCCTCTCCAGTAGAGACTCTTGACGCTTGACAGCTCCACTATCTGTAGGGAAGAGGGTGTTTGAGAAGATGTATTTGGCTAAAGTATTCTAGCGTTGGCTGTTCGGAGAAGAAAGGAAACCAAACCATGGATCTACAGATGTCTAGGAGTGAAATACGAGTCGGATGGCCTTTAAATGGACCATGGCTTGCCTATGAATGATTCCCTAACCAGTATATAACTTTCCTTTGGTATAAATCTCAGCGCTGCGGGGATCAGTATACTCCTGCCAGAATGGCATCATGACTCTCCGTGCATCGCGTCTGGGGACATCCCGCAGCTGTCCTCACAGTGACCGTCACAGTATCGGTCGCGTTCTGGTGACGGAGTAGACTGTTGGTGAACTCATCTCTAAGATTGCCGACTCGACCATGAACGTTGCGCTACGCTTACCCTTACTTGATGGCGAGGTCCGCTACGCGGTCCTGAGAGAGTACGCACAGAGAGCAGTGGATGTCCTCGCACGACGCATCCGCTTGACCTTTTTGGACGCCCAGGCTGCGGCATCAGTGCTGCCAGCCGTGATTGGCATCATGGTGGAGGAGTTAGAATGGGGAGAGGTCCGCAACCATTCCAAGTTTACCGAGTCTATCCAGTTTCTACGATCGATGGGGTTGGAGGGGGAAACGACAGATGCATTGTTGGCATAAGAGTTGCTCTTTCATTTGATATGACAGATATGTGCCCATTCAAGGAGATATGCAATGATAACAATCTACAAGAAGATGCGCACTCTAAAATAGCCGGCGTCGGGCAAGAAAGCCAGTAGACAGATGGACAGGAGGTCTGAACGTAGAATACCACAAATATCGAATTTCGAGGCTAATCCCACCATTTGTGTCTCTGCTATGCATGTTATATCTGAGAACTAGGTGGCAGATGTGGTGTGGTTAGGGAGTAATCGCTGGCTGCGATGGGATCCTCGACATTGTGTGTAAACCTATACATGCTGGGAACGACGGCCATGGCAGGCGGAAGTCGAGGATAGTTGAAAAAGTCGAAAATTTCAAGACATTCAAGGTCCTCAATGGAGAGCGACCTGACGGGAAGGGTCCCAGGATGTGGGAAGCGAGTTGCTGAAATATTGATTTGGTAGGCAATCCTATAAGTCAGAGTTAGACCCCGCTCTTTTTTCAGAGGAAAAAAGAAAGCAATATTTATTCATTCGCATACAGCTTAGGGGACATACATCCGCATCCTGGCAAGCTCATTTGCAGCTGGAGCTTGTGATGGGCGCTGCATCAGCACTTGGTTGGATATCTTTCGTAGCATCGAGGCACAGTCCTCTGCTGAACTCCACTGCTGGCCCATCTGCTGAAGTGTCAAGATGAAGAATTCGTAGCTGGGGTCCAATACACCACCTTTGCTACCGGTATGGACGAGCAGGAGACGAGCCACGATGGATAAAGCCAGGGCAAATTGAGGCCCCATCAGGTCAAGCATGCCGGTGTCCACAACCTCTTGGGCAATTCCGTGTAGACTACGGACTGCCGCGAGGCAGCGTTGCGATGCATTGAGTGAAGAGTGGAAGATATGCGACTGGACCGGTGGGTAAGCAGCACAGGAGTGCAACCGCACTACCGCCGTGACGAACGCGGCATGTAGAGTGATCCAGTTTGAGATTTTGCTTGTCGGATCCGAGTGACAGAGCTGCGAGACGTTACTGTAATCACCCGGCAATCTCCCCAACCAACTATTCAGCTCATAATCCAACTCTTGGAAGGTCCTTTCCCACTTCTGAACCTCTGCCAGGGAGCAAATGTCGACCGGCGTCTGGAGGAAGAGGTGGATGCGACTCAGAATACGAACGATCTCGCAGTGGTAGGAAAAGCTGCCGAGGTTTTCGGGATGGTCAATGACAATCTCCGCGCCCCTCAGATCCCTGGACCAGCGGGTTTCTACCGGCTGATTCCTGGAGAACAGGTCATAGCGACACGGGAGGGCGCGGTCAATACTAGATTCAGGCAACACAAAGTCCGAGCCCGTAGCAACCGCAGCGTAGCGTTCCAAGATGTACGCCATCCAGAATAGACGACGGCGCCCTTCTTCTTCTCTCCAGGAGTCGGGATGCGGCAAGATTCGGTCGCGGAACCGACTGAAGCCGGCAATGGCCCGCACGGAGGAAGACAGGGCATGAGGGGATTCGACGTGTAGATTTAACTGGAGGGTAGTATGAACAACAAGGGCGATGATGTTTGTTGTCTGTGGGCCATTTGACGAACCGAGGAAGTCAAAGGAGAGGATCACCAAGGCCTGAAGGGACTGGAGTGAGGGATTTTCTACAGCACAAAGGAGTACCTTGGCTTTAGCCGCATCATAGTATTGTCTGCGGGCATGTGGCGTCAGGGACGGGTCCTGACTGAACCGCAAGGCAGTAGCGACAATTGCATAAAGGACAACGGAATCCGGGTTATCAGGCCCAGGAATGGTGGAGAACAACTCAAAGGTACCCTGACGGTCCAAAATAGGACACCAGGTGTTAACATGCTTGAAGTACAGGTCGATTAGGCTGTACAGCAGATCGGCGGTCGGCAGATCCGACGCCGATGAGAGGCGCTCTCTGGGGGCTTCGGGTGATGAGACTGTGAGAGTGTTTGTTGCCCGGGATCTGTCATGATGGCACGGTGGTTCGGGGTGGCATGGCTCTGTCGGTGTCGCTCTGGGGGGCTGGGGTCGTTGTAGCGGAGTATCGACAGGCACAAGCACATTGGCCCACCCGGGCACCATGGATGAGTCACTGGATAGACAGACTGTGCGATGGGTTTCAACCTGACGACCAAGGGCTGTGAGCATCGCCTCCATGCGATTGACTTTGTTCTCAAGCTCTCGTATGTGTCCAGCGTTCACCCAGGGTTTTAGCCTTGCTCTGTAAAGGCAGACCCGTGAATTTCGAGAGCACCACCCGCACGAAGGCCTGGCTCGATCGCATCGCACTTTTCTGGTCTGACAAGCCTCACAGCTTGGATCATATTCGTTAGTGATGGTCAGACTGATGTCGAGAACAGGCGCTTTGGGGCGAGGAAGAGAGGGGCGGAGGGGGGGGGGAAGGGGGGAAACGAAGAGAGAAAGGGGATGTATACGCTGTCAGAGCGGCATGTGTCTTCGGATCTAACAGCCTCTTTGACCGCCGTAGATCCGGGCTGGGATCCTCATCCAGAACATTACGTAGTTCCATAGACTCCACTGGCTTTGCTAATTGTTAGAATAACTTGGGAGGATTGATTTTGAGGCCTTCACACCCCCAGGCTACTGGGAACTGAAACTTGAGGCACGGAAGTACATAAATCGACCATAACTTGAACGGGGAGCTGACGGGGAGAAGCAAAGAGGAAAAGAACTGAGACAAGACACTGGGGCAAGGCAGAAAGTTTGCTCGCCCAGGCTCCGCTCAGGATTGATACTAATACAGTACTACGTACTCGATTTGTTCGGCTAGTGCGCACGTGGCTTTCAGTCCCACTTTGAAACTCTACGTCGCTAAGGCTGCCATGGTGATTTTAGTATTAGGTCTAGCTCACGGCAAAATTACCATTCTCAGCCCAATTGGTTATGGTTATGGTTACGGCTATGGTTATGGCTATGGTCCTTGTTATTACTAAATTGGGTGGGAGATTGATTCGGGCCCGGCTTGGTCTCGGTGAAGTGAGTAAGAATAATACTGCCATAACCTTGCATTTACCTCGGCATTCCAGATATTCTAGATTCTATGACTCAACTATGCAGTAGCTTGGGAACAGTCCAAAGTGGCAAGATAACCGCCAATAGTAATAATAAACTGACTATAAAACAATAGCATTCATGCCCTTGCAAAATACACACGTGATTTGTTGTCTCCCTCTCCTTCAGTCGGTCCATGGTTGGCCAGCCTGTCAACGCGAACGGCCCAATACCAGACTGTGAGGTCTAACTGTAATATGTCTCAAGCAGAACAATCATGGCATACATTGGCATGGTTGATTGGCTCTTAACTGTCATTTAAAACCATCGGTTTCAAGTGTCCGTCCAGACAACAGCTAGCGGCCGGATACTGAGGCTGAAAGATTCTCATATAACAAGCTTTCCACTTCCTCATGACACTGCCAAAACTGTTTGTCTACTCCGCAGCATTAGTGCTGCTATTACCTCCTTCATAGGTCAGGACAGTTGGTGGGAATTGGCTTACCTCCAAACGGAAGGATCTGGGAGAACATCACACCGGCAATTTCTCGTTTCCGATCTACCCACCACACCAGGTTGGCAAGGCCACTCCAGTATCCTGTGCCCGCCGATCGCCCTGTACGAGACGGATGAAGCAAGGTGAAAAATGATAGGCCCCAGCCTTGTTCCTCGCCGGGCGGCTAGGGGTATATTTCCATGCTGGAGTTGATTAAGGCGGGTTTGGATGAATGTGTTTCCTGACGGCCGAAGTTTGGAAACTGAGAAATTTGGTTGCTAAACATTTCTAAATGGATTGAAATGGTCAGCATCCTTTTTCAAATCCTCTGTTGAAACGAACTGCAAGAGTAAGTGAGTTCTCACCTTCCACAGTTTCTTGCTGCAAAACCCGAACCCCTGTTCGCGGATGCAAGCCATCGTTAAGAAGGGTGGAGAGTGTTTGGATCCCCTAAAAAGGCAATCATCTCGGGCATCACCTTATCAATGATTATGTATATCGTAGTCTAGTGCGTAGCCTATATGTTCAATCCTTGTTTCCATCTTTAGCCAATTGAAGGAGCCATCTGATTTAGAGTTTCCCTAGAGATGCACTTCGGTCTTCCAACACCGAGCTAAGAAGCTATTCATAAGCTATTCTCGGGAATTGTTTCCCGCTCCAACCTCCGGTGGCGCGGCTCCGGGATGTTAAGCAAACCCTTCGGGATGCCTCAGCGTTCTTGTCAGACACCGAACTATTTTCAGTGCGGAGTTAACTCTGGGGTTAAGAATATCCCCCATACCCCGGGGCCAACTACTCCTTGTTTACATTCCTGGCCGGTAAGCACAATGGCATCCTTGTCAGAAGCGTCAGCCGCTCTCCTTCGCGGGAAGATCGATGAGTACATCGCCAGGCCTAACGGTATACCCGGCCTTGTTTGCACCATTGTGAACAAAGATGGAACCAGACTTTTCGACTATGCAGCAGGACGCCGCGGTTCTGGGCTAGATAAGCCTTTGGATACAGATGCTATATTCTGGTTAGCTTCGTGCACGAAGTTGATAACATCGATTGCTGGCATGCAGCTCGTGGAGCAAAAGAGACTCTCGCTGGATGATTCCGATCAGCTGGAAATTATTTGCCCGCCCAGTTTGCGATCACAACAACCAATCCGATCGACAGGGCCATTAGCCCTCGGCGCGTCGACGGAAACGTGTATTGTCGAGGACAACGCCATAGAGAAAAGTGGAAGGGATTTGCACCAGCCAGTATATGACACTGTTGAGGGATCGAGTCCGTAAGTTGAAAGCATACGCGCTTAACGTCGGGATCAAAGATTGAGACATCTCGGTAGCTGCCATTGGAATAATAAGAACAAGAATTCTCCTACATGTGAACGTTAGTAGAGATGGTGAGACTACCAACATCAAATCTGTACCAATATTTAAGGAGCTCAAAACATCCTTTAAGCTCAGTCTTAAAATCGGGAGCGGTAAAAAGGGCGAGGGGAGTGCCATCATCACGTCTAACATCCGCTGGCGAGACAATTGTCATGAACCTAAACCATATAGGTCGGATTATTAGATATCCACCCAGAAAAAGAGGATAACATACGCCAATAGCATTGCAGACGCCATGATGATTATAAAAATCAAGTACACCGAGGTTGGAACACCGTTTGGAGAGGTGTCATCCTAGCTCTCCAGCTTCAGTACAACCTCAAGCGAGACGAACCAAGCCCACAGTGGGATTGGACGGACCCGGTGTACGGCAAGTTTGCCGTCATGATCTTGCTAGCGGGGATCTCCCTAGCAATCGACCAAATGGCCGTTATGTGGATTCTAGGGGCTTTCAGCAACGAACCTCGGCTCCTAGCAAGGTATGGAGGATTCTTCAAGGCCATGCTTAGTGCAGGCCTCTGCCTGGCATTCGGCCTCGAGGCTGGTTCTGTTTCTTACGTGTTAGTGTCCCCTCACCCCTCATTGCAGCATTGACGGTGTAATTGAATTTTGATATCACAGAGCCCAAACTGCTGTCCAAGGTGGCGGGATGATTCTCTCTTTTCCCGTCCTGTTTTACCTGGTTTTCAGGTGTGTTTCCGACACGAATTATTTTGCTGAGGAAGGTGTTATTCCACCACAGAGTGTTGGGACGGCTCCTAAATTCTCAGCTGTGATGAACGACCCGGAAGATGCTGGAACTGAGAAGACGTACGGTATGGAAACATCAGGAGTAGTTGAACTTGAGGAACGGGTGACCATGTAACTGGTGGTTGTCCAGGCATAGAATTACAACCAGTCATCTGCTTGGTATTTATTGCCGCTTCCAAACCGGATAGAGCAATGGGAGGATCTCCAATACATTATTATCAACCATCTGAGAAAGCCTCTGTCATTGCTTGCCATTAACGGGAGTTCTGAACAGGTCAGCGACGCCTGGACTACCTCTAGTAAATGAACTCGACTCATGGGTCCAGCCCATTGGCTGAAATAAAGCTGTTACCTCCTACACGCGAGTCGTAAAAAACAATAAAAAAAACTCAAATACCCCTATCAATTCGTCGTGAATTCTGAATTCCGAATAATCATTTTGTGCTTCTGAAAAGGAAATTCTTGGCAAAATTGTGCAATTCAGGGTCTATCTACAGGGTATCGGACCATCCCGAGATCTAAGCGCTATTGACATAAGTGAGCCCTTACTCTTGAGACTAGGGTGCCCGGCAAGCCATGGGTGGGGTTTTGCCCGTGGGGTAACTCCGTACAAATGGCAGCCTCGTTCACACCATCGAGTTTCCAAGCGCGGCATTCCTCCGCAGGGAAACCCCCACATCCTCGGTTCGAAGCGGATTCTGTTTTGTCCATTCCTTATTATATTAAGGGATACGTTTGTGGTCATAATTGAGCCTGCAGAAAATTTCCAATTGATATTTGGCAACATCAGGATGGCATCAAAACCATATGGTTACAAGTATTTCTCGGTGCATTTCGTCGAGAGCTTGAAATATGTAGTTCACGTCGAAATCAATCGCGTTGACAAACTCAATGCATTCATTGAGCCGTTAGTAAATTGATATATTCCACCCCTTGATCGAGCAGCAAGTTCTGACATTCTAGGATGTGGTTTGAAATGCGGGAGCTGTTTAATCAGCTGTCTTCGGACTCTTCCGTTCGTGCCATTGTTATCAGTGGCGCGGGAGACAAAGCTTTTACGGCTGGGCTTGATGTCAAAGCCGCCTCTAAAGCCGTCAGTTCCCAGCAAGGCAACGCCGATACCGCTCGAAGAGGGGCCTACATCCGCCGATATATCCATCGCTTTCAGGACTGTATCTCAGCTATAGAGCGCTGCGAGAAGCCTGTCATAGCAGCGATGCACGGACACTCACTCGGTTTCGCAATTGATCTGTCCACGGCTGCTGATGTTAGGGTCTGCACTAAAGACGTTCGATTCTCTGTGAAAGAAGTCGATATCGGTATGGCAGCGGATATTGGCGTTTTAAACCGTCTGCCTAAGGTAGTTGGAAACTTTAGCTGGGTCAAGGAGGTATCGCTTTCGGCGCGACTCTTTGGAGCCGAGGAGGCCCTGCGCGTCGGTTTCGTGAGCGCCGTACACGAAAGTAAAAGCGAAATGATAGAAAGCGCTTTGCAGTTGGCAGGACTCATTGCGCAGAAAAGCCCTGTTGCCGTGCAAGGAACAAAGGAATTGTTGAACTGGTCTAGAGACCATCCAACTCAAGAAGGTAAGTACATATCAGCCGATACTTCCACAATGGCTCATACATACGGACCACGGACAATTCAAATAGATGCTAATTATATAACACATTAGCCCTTCGCTATACCGCTGTTTGGAACAGTGCTGCTGTTCAAACAGCAGATATTTCTGCGGCGCTTCTTTCTGGTCTCCAGAAGCGTACACCAACATTTGAAAATCTGTGATTCGGAGATTTAGATATTGAACCTGACAATAATCTCTTTACATGTATAATCATCTCCGATCTGTATCTTGTTTGTGGGAGTTGGGAGGTTTAAAATGACCGAAACTCACGCCCTACGATACTCTCTATCCCACGATGTCTCGTAAGAGCTTTACCACTGCTCCCAGTGCCTAAGAGCCCTCTACCTACACCTCCTAGGCTACCTAATCCTACACATATTAGCGCGCCACTTCGCCAGAAGTATAAATTAGACCCCCTAATCTATATGCCTAGATCACTACATTAAAAGAGATCGCTAGTGTTACGGGTTAGACCGCATGTCACTATATGGCCGTGCCATGCAGCCTTTCCCCGCACACGCCCGTTCTGCCACTCCGCAGTCTTGCTACTTCTATTCCCTTTTTTCTTCCACTCCTTCTCTTCTCCGAGCTTTTTTTACGCAGTTCGTCGCCTAGTCAGATTAAATTTAAGTCTTCCTTTACCCCTTATACTAGAGATCTGACCACCGTAGCGCCCTGGTAACAACTTGGCCTTGGTTTTCTAGAAGGTTTATCAAAGAGTATGCCATGTAGGGTGAAGGCTATTATCGAGGCTCATGGATGGTGCACTAACAGTTACAGTCATGTCCCACAAGTTTTAACACCCTCTGTCCCACACCCCTCGGTTACATAATACTCTGCTGGTTCAAAATGATATATTGATCAGAATACCTCCCTCCTACGTACACTTCGATTACGTGTGCAGCCATTCTGACTCAGTAAATGTCCTAAAGTTATGATAATTTTCCCGCAATTATGGTGCTGGGTGTTTCAGCATTTCTCTTCAATCCGTATTTGGTAGGTAGTAAGCGTGTCATCGGTTCTATCAATTGCACTGACAATGTCAGCCATGTACGATCTTCATTATGACCTGTCGTCCTTGGACCTGATCCGAGCTTTTTCTGCCGTCGGTCATGTTCCTACAGTGTTTATTAAAAAGCCGTCACCAAAGTCTGGATTGCCGTTGCTCTCCAACGCTGTAACCGGCTTTTCCAACATCGAGGAAGATCAAGCAGGGATGACTTCCATTATGCCGTATATGCTGGAGGATGAGTTGAACAGAGTCATTGGTGGTGGCTATGTTAAGGCTGATCAACCATGGGGTGAGAAGGTCGTGGTCTCGAAAACTGTGGATGGTGCCAGCTTGATTACCGGTCAAAAACCAGCTAGTGCGGCGGGTGTTAGAAGGGTGGTTCTGAAGGCTTTGGGAGTCTGATATCTGCCATTACTACGTATTTTTTCCTGCAATGGTGAAGAAATTATGGCTTATCTGTTACTTCTCATGCCTGGAATAGGTCCAACTTTTTAGTGCTCGGTTGTATTTCAAAATTGCCATGTTAATCCATTGAGTCGGCCCGCATTGGATACATCAGCCTACAGTTCCACACATGCAGTGCGAGATCTCAAACATGCAATTGTATGGGCATGGTGTGTGACAATTCCCTTCTAACATAGGTAGCGCCTGGTCCCTAACTCAGCAAACATGATCATAGTTTCTTCGTGTGTTTCAGGAATGAATTGGAGTAGGTTGTTGGAGAAGCGTTTTCAATTGAATTCCTAAGTTCAACTTAAAATTAGACCCGTCTGCTCTATATCTAGAGGTAAGAAGCTGTAAACATACTCCAAATTTTAGATATTTCTTTCAAGCTCCAGGTTTCTCACTCTTTCAACACTTCCTGATAAGCTACATGGCCAACCCATCGATACGGTGCCACATCGGTAAAGTTCTTGACGTCTTCCCTCACTTCCTCCAATCCTGTCACGTTCTCAAATGATGCCTGGTCCTTCCAAACCATTATGGCCTGTACGTGGTACCCTGCATCCTTGACTCCGGTGGTCACAATGCAGCTTTGCAGGCCTTGTGGTCCCCAACGCTTCTTGACAAGTGGAATATGGTTGTTGAGATAGTACTCCATATTGAAAGTAGGAGCAGCGGACGTGGGATAGATAACCTGGACGAGGACTTGCTGGGACGACATTCTGAAAGACGTCGTACTGGATTTCGAGATGGAGGATGACTGTAAGTGAAAAGGGAAGTGAGCAAGGTTATATATACGGCGAGGTTATGCGCTAATTGGTAGTTGTCCAGTGTTGCGGAGAGCCGAGGCCAATTTACCAGCGTCGTCCTATTACATTCAACAACTACTCAGTACCATATCCTGATTCATAAGATGTTCACTGCTGAATTAGCGCACTGAGCCTTCATACTCCACCCCTCTTCACATCCCAAGTGTATGAATTGATCCACAACGTTGGTAAGGAACATTATCGATATCGCGGGAACGGAGCAATTCATAGCCCAGTGTGTCCCGAAAATGTCTCCGATGCAGTTCTGTGACTCACGTCACGCAGCTGACTAACATAGCTTCCCAGCCGTATCATAACTAGGTTAGCATCAGAAACTACCATCAGAACTTTGAAACCTTAATCGCAAGATGAGGCGGCCATGATAAACATGATTGGCTACCGAAGCTTGAGCTGACTGGTTAACTCTCGTTTGCGGTCGGACATAAATCACGTTAAGACCGTGATGACATACTGCTATATCTATGGATATGAGACCCTCGACTGATAGGAACCATGTCCGGACACCTTTTTGGCCTAGTGGTATTATATTTCTATATAAAAACCTGGATGATCTGCTGTAAAGATTACTCATCGGCCGCTCTCGTCAGCCTGATTCATTTGCCTGAACCAATTTAAGTTTAGCGATTAGGGCCTTGACTTCAAAGCTTCGAGAGCTTGTTTGTTCGGAAATTGACGGTCCAACCTATCCTATAGAGGATGCTCTCAGTCATGTATTCCATCAATCTCTCAAAATATACCACGCCAGAAAATTACGAGCTAAGCGAGCTCCCTGCGCCAACCGTTGAAGCTCCAAAGACATCGTTATCAAAGTCCACGCAGCCTGTATCAATCCGATCGATGTTAAAAAGGCATCTTGTGTGACTAAAGCGGTCCTGAAAGATGAGTATGTTTTATGGCTTTCAATGCTGGTACATGACTGGTTCTGATTCAACCTGGCGACAGCTTTCCGTACAAGATTAGCTACGACTGCGCTGGCACCGTTGCGGAGATCGGGCCTCGAGTGACTCGTTTTAAAGTTGAAGATGAGGTTTTTGCTCGGCTACCTGAATTCCATCGAGGTATGTATGATGACACATTCTCAATTTAGGTCTTGGCAACTAACGAGTGCAATTTGAACTCAGAGGCGTGGAGTGAGCTAGTAAGAATGACTGAAGACTTGTCGCTTTGAAGCCAACAAGCCTGTCTATGGAAGATTCAGCATCGAGTCCGTTAGCAGCTGTGACTGCTTCACAGGCACTCCGACGGTACCCAGGAAGCCTCGAGGGAAAAACTTGTATTTGTACCTGTTGGGTGTACGTTTCCTGCTAGTTATACCGTTGTATAGCGGACGCTTACCTTATAGCAGTGAGTGGCACCGGACTATTCGCCTGCCAGTTAGCTAAGAATGTGTTCAACGCCGGCAAGGTTATTAGCACCGTTTCAACGTCTAAGGTACCTCATGTAAAGGAACTTCTTGGTGATAGTGTCGTGGATGAAAGTAAGACATTCGGTTTCTCACCCGTTTTCCAGATTAACTAACGAATAGATAAACAGTCATCGACTATAGAAAAACGGATCCAAAGACCGCTATCCCTCCGCAGTCGGTTGACTTTCTCTTTAATACGACGGGAGACTCCATGACCTATCTATCGCTGATGCGGCCGACTAGTGTTATAGTTTCCATCGCAATACTAACTTCGGGAGATGTCCTGCAAAATTCGAACCTCATGCGGTTGTCGCCTGATAGTAATGACAGGGCGACAGTGCCATTTCCCATCCGCATCGCGCTGAATGTGCTAGATCGAATCCGAACCATCCGTGCGCCACGACACGGCGTCAAGTATTCTGCTATTTTCCTGGAGCCGAACGCTAAAGATCTGGATTCCTTTCGTGAGTGGGTTGACTCGGGCAAATTACGAACTGTTGTTGGGACCAAAGTCCCGTACAAAGATCTTGAGGCCGTGCGAAAAGCATGCCAAGTTGTATTTGGCTCGAAAGGTGGAGTTGGAAAATCAGTGATCACATTCGTGTGAGGGTTTAATCCTTTCGATCCAACTCTCATAGGCCAGAACTGCTTCTTCCCATGCTACTATGCGTGATCATTTACTGTGGTCGGGATACGTACTTTCCGCTTGTCATGAGGATTCTGTCGTGAAGCTATTCTCACATGTGGATGCCTTGTGGCCTTGCGGCTCTTCCTGAACGGCAGTGTTTCGGCGGAGGATCGTTAGCCTCTGGTGGTTCAGCTGAAGGGTTGCACTACATAGGGGACCACGTCTTCAGGTTGCATATCCTCGTATTTGCTGCATACCCCTCTCTCCAGAATTCTAAGTAAGCAACAGGAGGTGATGAAATCGTATCTGCTAGTATACACTCTGACGAATGAGAATCAGGCGGAACCAACCCAAACGGGATGAATTGATTGATTGGGAAAACTGCAAGATTGAACCTGGGCAAGGGCAAGTTGAGTTGTCCTCGCTGACTTACAATGACGAGATTTGGGGTTGGAATGACCGAATTTCCTAAGTGTCAATAATACTGCAACAGTCAAGTCAGCGAAGGCTACTAATAAATTAATCAGCTCCTCTGCTTAGACGGTAAAAATATGATGGACAAGATGGTGGCTCCCTGTTGGATGGTGTCAATTGAAATCTCCAGCCAGAATAAGCCTTGTTGTTCTCTCTGCATCTCCAAAGCGTCATTAAATGCTGCTCTTGATCTCCTCAAGCACTGATTCGGTCGGGGCTATATTAAGTGCTTGGTGTGCCCCTAATGGTGGGACATAGTCTGAGAACATGAGGTACTATATCTCTAGGGTCCATAGTTTGATCGTTACTAGGTCTGGGCGGCTGCAGCGAATTTGGCGGTGTCCATGGCGTACACGGACAAAAGGCTTCAAGATGTTCTGCGCGCGATAGAGCACGCCAAGGAACAGGAATTCCGATACACACCAGTATTCTGTATTAAAGGGGGCTGGTAGAACTTAAATCTTATTGTTTGGTCTGGCAGCTGGCTTATAAAGATCATCAATTAGCTTCATTGGAGATACGAACCATGGTACGAAATCTTGTATCCTCTGCTTCCGGCCATGACTGACAAGGGATCTCCGAATGCAGGTTCCGATTCAATCTAGACAATTCATTGTTACACAGATTATTTAATTATGGTCATTGACTATTAGATTGTGATGTTGCATGACAATGTATTGCATCATCATCAAGTAAAATATTTCGTGCGCTCCAATTTTCTGATATCCTGGTATAAAGAGGGCTAATGGATCGCTTCCTGACGCTTAATGCACCTATCAAATTATTATACAAGTCTGAGAATACTCAATATTATCAAGATCTAGATTCTCAATAGACCAATCCACCATGTCATGGCAGATGAGCTCACGCCAAATCCCTGGTCAACCCTGGATTTATAACTCAAGCGGTCATACTCATCTTCAGGCCCAATGCCTTGACGAACAGGGTAACTGGCAAAATAGTGACCTTGATTTGGACACCTGTATTGGAGATGAGAATGGTATGAAACTGATATTTGCATATTTTTTTGTAATGGAGCATCTGCTGATAGTGGTAGATGTGCTTGTTTGGGGAGAACAGGACTTCACTTCAGATTCAAGATCTGTCAACTTTGCCTTTGAGCAAAATCCCCCACAGCCTATTCTGCGTGCTACTTTCATTGATGGCAACAGCGCCCCAAAGAATACAGCGGAGAGGATCTCTAATATTAATGGCCACCTTGTTTTCCAGTAAGACATGGCCATTCTCTTTGATTTTAGGATTCGGATAGGACCAAAAATGCTTCTTACCTATCAAGTACTTCAGGTTCTATTCTCTATCTTTGTGAAGATGACATTTTAATATGCAATTCGCGATATTCTTGTCTTTGCTCCCAATGCAGGAACGAAAACTGGTCAATGTTAATAATATTCGAAAGTAAAAAGAAAAGTGGAATCTGAACCAAGGAAATCGACATGTCGGTACTTATTCTACCAGTAGTAGAGTACATACCCTGTGAAGCATCTGTTTAGCAGGAGGCGGTAGCTCCTTCTTTACTGCACTCTGATGTAGATGGTTGCTGAAGTTTTGCTGATAGTCCTATTCTGCTGGTCAAAGGTCTGCTTCATCTTATCGTGATGTTCTTTTCTTTCATAGACCCGGGTCTGCAATGTACAAATGCATGGGTTCTATTAACATAACTAGTGTCCTCTAGCTTGTAAAGTCATCAGGGATTAATTAACTAGTTACACCCAGAATCTATGTAAAATAATATTATGTCTTTACTTAAGCTATGGTCGACTTCTGCCTTGTAAACCAGATACCACTACTTCTAGAATATCTCTAGTGAGCTTTTGTATGATGTTTCTAGTATCTAACCTCCATTTCTGCTGTAACACTGACCGTATTATCAGGAGAAGAATGCCTTACGGAAATAGATAATCTACTCTGAATTAGAAATCCAGCAGAAATGTTATATTTAGGTCCGCGGCAGAGAATAGAGAGGCAACGCATCATATTAGCGCCAGTTCTGAGGCTTAGATCCTGACTATTTCTCACTAGTCCTAGTAATCCTATGTCTTGTCTAGCTTAGCTTGGGTTCTTGTACCATGGCATTTCTGTTATAGTTAGGAGATAATCGAGACGTTCAGCCTCTTGTAGGTGGCATGACGCAGGGAGTTCCTGTTCCTCCTCATCATCCAGGATCAAGTCATCATCAGAATAATCCTCTAGGTCATCATTACTGTCAGACTCGGATCCATTGTCTGAGGATTCATTAGTAGCATCATCTAAGAAGATGTCTGGTATGTCAGTGCTGCTGCCGTCATCATCAGACACAACCAGTTAAGAGGAGTGTGGCATACAAGGGGACACCACTCTCATCACACTACGCAGTAAGGCTCTCCTCGTTTAGCAACCTGATATCCCTAGGAATTGAGAATGTCAATTGACTTTCAATTTCCTTATTCTGCAGTTTCGGAACCCAACCCGCGATTTGCGCTTAGAGTCCTTCTCTTCAACTACCGAGGGACGCGAATGCATGCCTGTTCTGGATGAAGGCGGCTCACGGATAGATTTAGCTGCCGTAGGCATGTTGACCGGCCGGAATATGATACGCTGCTAACATGAGCTGTGTTGTAAAACGTCAGTCGAATTGCTTTTAGGCGCTTTGCTATCTCCGATCCTTCTTGTGAATATTCTCTTACTCTTTCCCTCCGCGACTAACCACAATCGACTAAGCGGGACCATCGCAACGGAAGTCGTTAACCCCGAAATCCGAGCGAAACTACAGCGGGATTCAGGGAATTTGGGGATCCGCCTTTCATCCGGTATCTCAGCCTGCCTGATCTGAGGTTGATCTGAACGCCCTAGCCTCAGCTCGGCTTTGGGCTCTGATGATTGGCCGGCAATTAGAGTCATCATTGTCTCCCACATTAACTAGTAGACATGTCAGTCCAGTCAGGCCACAATTGACCAATCCTACTCTATATGAAGTCGCATACGGATTGGAAAAATAGCCATGACTGCCTCAGACTGCGTAGAAGCGACCGACATATAAATTTCTAGCAAAGTCCCACGGAGGAAGCAGAGTAGAACTTCTCAGACTCAACCAAGATCCCCCACTGAGAGAATCATTTCATACACATTCAAGTGCCTATCCCATTTCAGTCACTATGCGCATCTTCGTCACCGGCTCCACCGGCTTCGTCGGCTCAGCCGTCGTCAAAGAGCTCCTCTCCGCAGGACACAAAGTCCTCGGTCTAACCCGCAGCGAGAGCGGAATCAAGCAACTTGAGAAGCACGGCGCCGAAGCCCTGCACGGTACCATCGAGGATCTTGAACTCCTCAAGAAGGCCGCCTCCGAATGCGACGCCGTCATTCACCTTGCCTTCGTCCACGACTTCGCCGACTACGCCGGCTCCTGCGCCACGGACCGCGCCGCCATCACTGCCATGGGTTCCGTCCTGGCTGAGGCAGACGGCAACCGCGCTCTGGTCATCACCTCCGGCACGATGCTGCTCCCGCGCGGCAAGCTAGGGGACGAGGACGATGCGATTGACATGACCAACCCGATGTCTGCGGCCCGCGGTGCCTCGGAGCAGGTCTGTCTCGACTTTGCTAAACAGGGTGTGCGGGCTAGCGTTGTCCGGCTTCCGCCTACGACGCATGGCCTTGGGTTCTCAGGCTTCATGGGCCCGTTTGTGACCGTTGCGTTGCAGAAGGGTGTCGCGGCGTATGTGGGCGAGGGCCAGAACCGCTGGTGTGCTGGGCACCGCGACGACGCGGCTAGGTTGTTCCGGTTGGCGGCGGAGAAGGCCACACCTGGGTCGATCTTCCACGCGGTGGGTGAGGAGGGTGTGTCGACGAAGGAGATTGCGATTGCAGTTGGGAAGCAGCTGGGTATTCCTGTTGTCAGTATCCCGCCGGAGAAGGCGGAGGAGCATTTCGGCTGGTTCTGGTTTGGTGCCGTGGCGGACAATGTGGCCTCAAGTGCGAAGACGAGGGAGCGGTTGGGGTGGACCCCTGAGGGGGCAACATTGATGGAAGATATTCCGGCTATTGTTGCCTTTTTGAAGTCTCAGGCAGCGTGATGTGCAGAGCCAAATGTTGGTAGACGCTTGGATCTCGATAGCGTAGGGGAGTAGCTCAACTAGATTTCGATGGTATTCATTCAGTTCAACCAATAGGAGAAGTAAGCGTACGAGTGAGGTCAACCTGCGCCGCCTGTAGAGGGCTGACTGGCCACTGCAGGTGTAGATGGGTAATATGATGCTCTGATAAAAGGGCCCTCTGCATTAGATATTAAGTATCTCTATCTCTATCCCTCATCTGACCTCAAAATAAACGGTTTTTGTAATTGTATTCCCCTCCGTTGCATCGCCAACTAAGCCTTGGGTGCTTTCGGAATCGCCTTTCTGCGCCTGACGTTGCCCATGGACCGATGCATGAGTTCCCAGCCCTTCATTGTTAGTATGATCGCGTACAAAGGTGCCGGAAAGAGACGAGATGGCATATTTGTCAGCTGAGAAACCATGGCGCTCAGTGATAGCGAATGCATTGTGACTCGGTTGGAGTTCGATCATGAGGCGGCCAAGCGATGGAATGGCGGTGGTGATGATGCTGAGGTTCATCATCACTCTGCTCTGGTCAGGTCCCGGGTCTTGCCATTGCATTTGGTCTGGTTACTTACTGGGCCCATATTGTGGAGTCGATGTTTGTCCCTGTGTTGGATTAGTACCATGTTCTGTGCACGACTGTAAATACACTCACATGTCCGGTCAGGCGAACTAATTGCAATATTCACGTAGTGCATTTGGATTCCGGTTGCAACACACACACTGGATACTTGTCAGCGTCAAGGCCTCAGTGGAACTTAGAGCTGAGATGCGCACATTAACCGACTGGCGAGCATGGCCATGATGCGGAGTCGCTTCAACCTGCTGATCTGGACTTTCTGGAGCACGACACAGGGAAGGAACACCAGTGCTGCGTCGGTAATAATATTCATAGCCCAGATGTAATTTGCGAGTGCTTCCTGATCGATTCATTATCAATTGGAGTCCTCTAGGCTGTAGATTCCGTCACTCACTCGATTGACACAACGGCCTGTGGTGTCCCACGGATGAGGCAGAGCGCATTGGAATGCCAGAGCCACGATCGAGGAAGATGCCCATAACCCAATTACCACCATCAAGCCCTGGCTCAGCCGCAAGACGTTGCCCTGGGCCGTCAAACTGCGGAAAAGGAATGCGAGGGAGAATTTACTGCAAGTGACGGTTGCAAGAAGGAGGATCTGCGTTCCGTAGATGTACTGAGGGAGCTATTAGTCGCCTTGGGGTAACAGCTTTGCGGTTTGAAGGAATCGTCACCTTGTCGAAAGAAGTCAAGTCGTTGGTCGAAACCACGTTTATCCTTTTGCCGAGTCCATGGTCGATGGCTAATTGAACAAGCGCGCTCTGGATAATTCCCAGTCCCTGTTATACGCGATAAAAGTCAGACATTGCAGAATCACGCTGTTCACAATCAATAAAATCATACCGTGGCTCCTGCAAGCAAGATGTCATCCGAGTAGACAGCCCTTGCAATGTACCATCTTGTAAAAAGTCGCACAAAAACAGTGGCCACCGTCAGACTTAACAAAGTGTACACAGTGACGGCGACATACCCACTGTGATCATCATCTGAGATGGGAAACAGGGGTGGTAGCGTGCCTGCCATGTCAGTTTATGAAGCACAGATGCAAGCCGATCCGATCAGCAGAGAATATATGCGAAATCGGAAGGATGTCACGGGCGCACACAGACAGCACCAGAGAAATAGTTTAGTTGCGCGTCGCATGGTCTCTAATTGGCCTGGATGGGTCGATAGCAATTGGGAGAGTATAGAAGCCTGAGCCAATAACAGTATGTGGAGTATCTAGTCCTTGGCTCCAAATTAACTCCTATCTGTACATTTTGACAGGCGGTTTGCCAATGCTTATCCTTGGAGCTTCAACGAACTCTTGGTGGCACCGTTTATTGTTTGGGATTGGCCTGGAGTCCGTCGGACCTCGGCCGTGCGCACGAACCAAAGGATGGGACTACGCAATCGACGTTACATCGTGCATCTAGACAAGGTTTTTATTTCGCACGAGCCAATCTGGCTATCTAAAGCGGTATCTCTAAGCGTGCTGGCTTCTCCATACAGCCCTGAAACCGCCATTGGTTTGAACTTTTGATTAATACGCTGGAACCGTGGTTTAAGCACCTTTGACAGGCTTTCGAAAAAAGTCAATTAAAATGATATGGCCTTGCCAGGCACATCTTTGCATGGAGTTTTGTTAAAATTACCAATCGCATGTTACACCGGACAGCTCAAAGCTCCAAAATCAACCGTCTCAAGCTAGCCAGACATGGGTGTTCTCCGGAGGCCTGTCAAGGAGCCTTCAATGGACTGGCACTACATTATTCTGTCATGATCTGGACTAATCGATTAATAGTGTTCCACCCATTGGAACCAACCAACCAGATTACAGTGGACTTCGGCTTAAATTACTTTACTTTCTTTTGTCCCGCTGTCTTCACGTGGCGTGCATTTTCCCCTGATTATCCCTTCATCCTTGTTTGTGATGTATATATGCATTACTTCAAGTTGATCGTCAAAGCTCCGATGAAACTTGAGCGCCATCATGTCCGAAGATACAATCGAGCTGTCGCCCTTTGGGACGAAGGTCGCCCGTGGATATGCGCTGGAGCTGAGGAATCAAAATGAAGCAGGCGACAGGAAGCGCTTTGGCAACAGTGCCAGTGGCGGGGGATACACGTCGTCGAATAATACCAGCGGAAAGCAACGAATGGAGGTAGGAATGAAACTACCTCACAATGAGAGTCATACAGAATTGCTGATTCTTGCCGGAATGGAAGAGAAAATTCGGTTCGCTCTCCATCCTAGCTTTGTCAGTCACGTTGTTGGCATCATGGGAGTCCATCGCGAGGTATGTCAGAAGCCACATCTGCCTGAGCTGCTAGTAATTGTCTTTTGTCTAGCGGATTTGCCCCCGGTTTGGTGAATGGAGGTCCAGCGGCTTTGGTTTGGGGTATGCTACTATCAATGACAGGAACGATGGCACTGGCCTTGTCGCTGGGTGAAATGGCATCCATCTGTCCGCTTGCGGGAGCACAGTACCACTGGACCGCGCTGCTGGCGCCCCCGAGAATCAGGGCATTCAGCACTTGGATGCAAGGTATATGAGAGCAAACAAAATCCGACCGACAATACTAACTTATCACGCAGGTTGGATCACGGTGTTTGGATGGCAGGCCGCCGTTACTAGTATCTGCTTCCTTGTGGCCACGCAAATCCAGGGTCTCATCATCCTGAACCACCCGGAGTATGAGCCGCAACGATGGCATGGAACCTTGCTGATGTGGGCGGTAATGCTCTTCTCGCTGACCATCAATGTCTTTGCGGCTCGAATCCTGCCTCTACTTCAACTGTTGGGCGGCCTTATGCATGTTGTATTTTTTATTGTCCTGATCGTTCCTCTGGTGCTACTGTCGCCACGGAGTACGCCCGATTTTGTTTTCACAGAGCTGCTGAATCAAGGTGGATGGAGTAGCGATGGCGTCTCCTGGTGTCTGGGAATGTTGACAGTCACATATTGCTTCATTGGTAAGATATACATCACTTATATGAATTTCCACTGACCGCCGCAGGATTCGACGGCGCTATCCACATGAGCGAAGAAGTCCACAACCCGGCAACAGTGGTCCCTCGCATTCTCATCCAAACCATTGTCATCAACGGCACTCTAGCATTTGGCTTCATTTTGGTCATGTTGTTCTGCATCGGAGACATCCACGCAATCTTACACTCTCCAACCGGCTTCCCCATTATCGCAATGTTCTACCAGGCCACCGGTTCCGTCCACGCAACAACAGCAATGCAATCCGCCATCACCCTCATCGGATTCGTCTCCAACATCGCAGTCGTCGCGTCCGTCTCCCGCCTCACATGGGCCTTTGCCCGTGACGGAGGTCTACCCTATTCCCGGTTCTTCGCTCACGTGGATGCGACATACCACATCCCCATCCGCGCCATCTGCCTCGTCTGCTTCACCGTCATCGTGCTCTCCCTCGTCAACATTGCCTCAACCACCGCTCTCAGCGCCATCCTCGCGCTCACCACCAGCTCCCTTTTTATTTCGTATATCATCCCCATTGCTATGATGGCCCGGAAACGTATCCGGAAGGAGCGGATTGCGTTTGGCCCATTTGCCCTTGGCCGATGGGGTCTGGCCATCAACCTCTACGCTATCATTTTTGGTATCTTCATATGTACCTTCGTGTCGTTTCCGACCGAGATCCCTGTGACAGCGACGAACATGAATTACAGCGGTCCGGTATTTCTGGGGGTGAGCGTCCTGTTGATTTGTGACTGGGCCGTAAGGGGGCGAGGGAGGTTTACAGGGCCGTTGAAGGAGTTATTAACGCGGGGTGCTGAGATGTAGTAACGTCATTCCTGAATAATATCCTGTAGCGAGCTGGCTCTTCAGAGGACTGCGAATGACCCTAACTGGATGTGTAGGTCACTAACTACAAACACTGGGAATACCACGCATTTACCACAGTGCAGGTATACCCGCTCGCACACACAGTAGGCCCCGTCCATCCGGACCCTCCGCACTGACCCCAATGATCCGCAACGCCGGTGCTAGTCGACGACCCCCCAGACGACGTCGTGGTGCTCGTCGTAGTAGCCTTGGTCGTAGTCGTTGACGGCCCACCCGCAAACCCAAACCACTCCATATCCAGCGCGCCATGAATGGGGACCGTATGACCGACGCCCGTTGCATAGATCCCTTGCAGGTTAGGACCCCAGTTGGTAGTCTGGTAATTTGCCTGCGGAGTGTTGCTCTGGGTGGACTGGGGAGAGTTGTAGTTGTACCCGAACACGCCCGCCCATTGCTTGCAGGTTTCGTAGTAGTTCTGCGGGTAGAGAGTCGTGTCTGTGCTGCCGTGGTAGATCTGCATGCGCGGGCGCGAGCCGGTATACCCCGGATACATTGCTTTGGCGACGCCGCCCCAGACCTCTGGGGTGCTGATCACCTTGCCCTGTGCGCAGCTGCTGTTCCAGGCGTCGACTTGGTTGGCGGAGGAGTAGAAGCAGCCGGCGGAGACGCCTGAGTAGACTGTTGCGGCGGCGAAGAGTTCGGGGTATGTCGCGGCCATGACATTCTGCCATTCGTTAGTTTGCAGTTTCTGCAGTTTCTAATGTGATGGTTACCGTCATCATGGCACCGGAGCTGGAGCCGGTCACAAACACCTTGCTGGTATCGGCGTTGTATTGGCTGATGGTCCAAGTAACCATGTTGGCGATCGAATTGCTGTCGCCGCCGCCATTGTGTTTCAGAGCGGATTGGGAGCTAACGTCCCAGCAGGTACCGCTATACGGACTCTGAGGGTAGATGACGATGAAGCCATATTGCTCAGCCAGCTGTGCGTACGGAGATCCCGTGTAGTAGGCTTGTGCGGTTCCGGTGCCTAAGTAGTGTCAACAACGTTTGCAGATGACAGCAATGAGGGTTTCTTCACCCACAGTAGTGGATAGCAACAACGATTCCAGGCTTAGTGGCCAGATTCTTAGGCACATAGATGTACATGAGCGTTCCAGAAGGGTTAGATCCGAAGTTCGTCACCTGCTGAAGCGATCCGCTGGTGATTCGCTTGGCCAAATCCTTGCCCGGAGAGGCAGAGGATAGGGCCAGGAGAGAGAAGAGGACAAAGAAAAGAGATAGAGCTCTCATTGTGTCGTTCAGAAGAGCAGACGACTTAGTTCAGCAGTGCTCGGAGTAATATAATACGTTCAGGTCAATGGGCTGGGTCGGCTTTTATCATCTGGAAGCTGATTACCCGGCATTTCATCCCCGCAATTCTGGCTAAATTGTATTCTGCAGCAATCGGACAAAAGGAGGACTGACCGATGAGACATCCTCAAACAGTTTTATTGCTTAGCACAAGGATAGCGGCCTTTCCCCGCATTCCACGCGTCAACCATCCTGCAGATTGGCTCGGTGAAGAAGCTTATTTATCCAAAACAGGCTGCATAACTTCTGCAGCGGGAAATCGGTCTTCGGGCCGGGGTTCCTGGATCGTCAATGGAATAAGGTTGACGGAATCGCAAAAAGAATACCCCCATCCTGCTAGTGTGCAGGTCATCTTCTACATCTTTGATTGGAATTGGGTTACGAAACCAAGGAAATACGCGGTAGGGCTCGTGAATGACTGCCGTTGCCGATGCATATACAATGTATTCCCAGTACCCAGCATACTACGGTGGGCCCCCTTCCACAGGACTACGTAAGGGTTTCACATCTGATACTGTTGGCTCTAGTAAGACTCTAAGTTCGGAGCTGCAAGGAGTTCATGAACACCATTCTCTCTTTTGTGATCATACCGTATGCAGAACCTGTCGTTCTACTAACACTTGTTTGATAGACATTTCATTCGTTTGTTCAAAGCTACTCCCATCGCTGCGTCGTCATCTTGCAGGTGTTGATTATGAAAGCATGGGCCAAAGGGCCTGTCACGATGTGTTTTCCATATTTCCGAATACTGCCATAGTCATTAAGCTTTTTTTTTGGCTGGAGGGCGGAGCTCAAATAGAAGGTTTAAGCTTCCCAAGTCTTACTTATTTTTGGACTATAAATCCAGGCTCCTGGTAAGCTTAAGTAAGGCAAT